AGCGACATGGACATGACTCGTGACGCTGCTGCATGGACTTCGCAGCGCTTCTGCTATACGCGCTTTCAATGACAGCGTGAGTGGGAGCGAGATGGAGCGAGGAAAAGCGAGAGGAGAGGTGGAGAGACAGAGAGAGCGCTACTCGCTCGCCTAAAACGCCCCTGAGCCCTTTGTAAACGCCGGAGCAGCACCGGGCCAGGGCCCGCGCCGCGGACGCACCTCACGGAAGACTGATTATACACACACACGTGCACGCTCTCGCTCGCTCACTCACTCACACAGATATCAACAAACAAACACGGTCGGCGCGCGAACACACGCACGCACACACAATCAGTTCCCCTTTGCGCGAGCGATATGCTATATCCCCAAGCCACTCTTTAGCTCCCACATCGTGCTAATTATTGAGACTGGCAAACTCGTCGCCGCTACACCGAGGCATGCCACGCGTTGCTTCACGAAGCAGTCACAGACTCTCCCCCTCCCCCCTCTTTCTCTCCTGGGCCCACCGCCCCGCCACGCCCCCGTATAATGAAATGCCTGTGCTGAGCTGGCGGCGGGCTCTGCTGCACTTTTCCGTTCGTTGGCTCAGCAGAGTGCTGCTGCAACGTCGCAGCGAGTTTCGTCGCAGCGCTGATGAGGAGGGGAGGTCGATGTTTGCCTTATTTAAGTCGTCGTTTTCTTTTCGTTCTTTCTTTTTTTCATCTCCGTAAATTATCCCAATGAAAAAGGCAAATACTAGTTATTCGTGTACAGGCAGAGGAAAAAGAGCGATGACTTATTACCTAACGACACAATGATTTTCGTGTCGTTGCGCGTAGAACAATAGTGAACGGAGGTCTATTTTTGTGTTAGACAGAGCATGTTGTTTTGCTTATTTTAAATATTTATCTCCGTTTTCTTTTTCTGCCTGACAAATAAATCAACTTTTCATGACCTGATTGGCGACCGGAATGAATGGGACGAGGAGGGCGCTTGTGCTGAACGTTTTGAAATACACCCTCGGCCGACGAGGCTGGGGGGAAAAAAAGGATGGAAGGCTTTAGTTACCCCCACCCCTGCGCCGACTTGTTCGCTTTCCTCTCCAACCCTATCCCAGCCCTATCCAGTGTCCCATGCAGATATCTGCACTCAGGCAGACCATATTATTTTATCACTCAGAATTCCGAGTGGAAAAGGGGGGGGGGGAGGGGGCAGCGGAGGCAGACCTCGCTGTTACACATTTGCGAGAAAGTAAGGATATATACATACACGTATAATAATTTTTTCTCTGAGCTGTAAGGCTCAATCAGTATGGTTTCTTTCGCAGAGTGGAGACAGTGTGCAAATCGCTTCTACACATGTTTGGAGTAATGAAAGGTGTTTTTGATTTTAGTACTTGATTTTCGTACTTGATTTTCGTGACCTTATTAGTACGTGGCGCTTGTGCGTCTCAAAACATGCTCAGTTATTACTCTACACAAGAGAATCAAGTAAACAAAAATTTAAAATGTCAGTTAATCGAGAATACACTATTTAATTTTTTCCTGGGAGAGGGGGCACCTCTGTACTTATCGCTGGGTTCATATCGCCTGGAGCGCGCGCAGAGGCTGTGGAAGATATTCCGATTCCCGGCAGAGTTTTCCTCGTGGCGCGGTGCCCGGTCGCCCGGCGGGCGACAGGCGGGCGACAACTTGATGCCACGACCACGAGGCCGTTTACATCCTCGCTCTCTCTTCTCCCGACCATTATTTTCACTTTAAGGACAAACAAAACGCGCGGCGCGGCAGCGGCCGGGCAGCGCACAAAAGCAGTCAAGGAAGAGCGCGGTGGGGTAGCGGCCGCCGCACAAAAGGCTCGACAAGATGGCGGCTAAACGGACATGACAGCCCAGACTGGCCATATTGCGATCGTCGGGACGGGCCCGGGGCCCTCCGGCCCGCAGGCGTCTCGGTGGCCCCCGCCGGTTTATTATGTTTGTTTGTCACGCGCGCCGCGATACAGCCGGGCGAAAGGAACGGCGGCGGCGTTGGAATAATTGCGTCGAAAAAGTTCAACTTGCGCAGCAGGGGTAGTGTGCAGCTGCGCCTGAGAGCAGTGTAGTCTCTCTCGCTTCTGAGCTCTCACTAATAGGCGGCACATGGGTACCCGCATGAAAGCGGGGGGGCTGCTCACCACACGGTTGGCAGGGCACGGGTAAAGCACGGCAGAGACACACCTCCCGCTTTCCCGAGGGGAGGGCGCTGCCTTTTACCTTAGTTTTGTAACGGTACGAGAGCATATACAAATCCTCTCGACATAGACTTTTTCGCGGGAGGTACCAGATGGTACCGTACAGTCGTTATTCCCGCCTGGCTTACTACATGTAGGTGGTGCTTACTCCAACGTTGCGCTGCTGGTGCTTTACCTCGGTCAGGTGGACGCGTTCCGACTGCTGCTGGTTCCTTTTATCTCACGTATTTCCACCTCGGGGTACGTCAAAGGGATGAATCCGTCTGGAAAAAAAAATCTTCACCTTAACACCGCCCCCCAAAAATGATGGGTAGTTTAAATAATTAATACTCATCTTTCCCTCTTATCTTTGGCTCTGGTGCGGAGCTTACCTGTTTAACTTTGCCGCGCGATACTTTATTATTCGCCGCCTCCCCCTGACGCGGCGGCCATACTTCCTCGCGGCTCGCATATCTGATGGCGGCCGGGATGCGTTTGCGCCCAGAGCATTTGTTCTGGCGTGTAGCTGAACTGGAAACTTGAAAGTAACACGAGAAGCCGGCGCGGCAGAGGCAGCAGAGCTAGGGCCGCCGCCGCCCTGACCCTCCAGCGGCGCGGCGCCCAGCCACGCCCTCCCATGTGGGCTGCTGCTCTCGAGTCTTGTGAGTTTAGTTCTCCGGGACTAACATCACGGCTCATATATCTTACGCGCCATCGAAACTCGCTCCGCGCGCTGCCCTTCTGCTACGGTTTGCTGCGCCCCACTTTAGGCAGATGCTCGAACGCGATCAAAGTTCGCGCGCGCGGCGGAGCGGGCGACGCGCGCCTACGTGTGCGTGGCGCTAATCGCGAGTGTCAGCCAATTATATTATTGCTGTGTGAAAAATGTTTGGAGTAGTGGTGGTATAGTTTGTCGTGGGGCTCCGCGTAAGGGCCTACTAGGGGGGCGGCCGCGGCGAGGCCGAGTTGAGAGCTGTGAGGGTTGTTTCGGAGAGGAGACTTGACGGGGATGAAGGGGGGAAGGGGCGAGGGAGGGGCCACCGGAGCCGAGGTGAGCGCGGGGAAGGGAAGGGGAAGGGTGGAGCGACGGCAGGCGACACTCGGCCCCAAACATCATTGTGCATTTGGCACAGGGCCACGGGGGGCTCCAGGGGAGGAGGGGTCCCTCCCGGTCCCTCCCGGTCCCTCCCTGGCCGCGGGGGCCCTGGCCGGGGCCCCTGGCGCGGGCGTGCGCGGCCCCAAGGACGACGCCGTGCCGCTGACTCGTGCACTCTCGATGGGGTGTGCCAGGGGCCAGCGGGCGGGCGGGCGTGCTTGCTGCTGCGGCGCCCCGGTGCGGCGTGTTGGACACGGAAAAGCTGCGGACCATTCTCTTTTCCTTATCCTCTCCGTCTCGCCTTCGTCCTCCTCGCCTTTCTCCCGTCAAGGGTGATGCTTATAAAATGGTGAAACGCGTCTACTGCCAAGTGTTGTTTCGACGGACTACGAGCTGAGCTAAAGCCAGATCACATTACTAATTAATAGTTTGAGTGTGAATTTTCCTGTTAAACTTTGGAACGTTTTAGTTTTAAGTTTAAACTGTCACGTACCAGCACAATTAGATTTTGAAAGTGTAACAGAACTGCACCAGTTTGCAGAGAGTGGAAGGGGGTTAGGGGGCTGCAGGTGGTAAAGGGGGATGGGGGATGTGCTGACCTGGATTCCTCGCCACGCACTTTTCGCGGACTTTAGTTCGCTCCTCCAATGACTGCGCGATAAAATGGAGGTCGCGCGACGCGACACTGTGCCGCAGCGCTCCTGCGGGGGTTGAACTCCGCGCGCCTCCCGCCCGCAGCCCCTCCCTATGCCCCCGTGCACCTCTCTGCTGCTCTCTGTTTTTGCCCCCTCACCCCCCTCTCCTCCTCCCCCTTCACCCCCACCGTGTCCCCCGGGGCAGGAGGTGATTTTGCGCCAACTTTGTCAAACAATGGTGGCGTGGCGGCATGGGCGCTGTACCTGCATAGTCAGTTCCCCGGGCCGCGGCCCCGACCGGGCCCCGCCTGGCGGCGTACACTGCCAGGCTCGATCTCTTGCCTGTGCCGCCGAGCAGCATGTCTGCTGCCGCGGTGCTGCTAGCAGTGGCATGTTGGTGGATGAAGGGTGATCACACAAACGCTTGCCGCTAGACGCCTAGCGCGGCAAAAGGAGAACAAACAGCTGACATCTACTGGCTTCTAGTTTCCCCTGCTGCCTCCCCCGCAACATCCCCCCC